TCATATGTGTAATCCTAGCACTTGGGAGACTGGGGCAGGAAGATTCCTGCAAGTTCAAGACCAGCCCAGGGTACAGAGTGGAACTTTGTCCCAAAAAGCTGAAAGCAGGGCTGGAGAGATGGTTCAGTAGTTAAGAGTGCTATTTCCAAAAACAAACAAATCAACCAAAAAGGAGTGCTATTTCCAAAGGGTGCAAGTTCAATTCCCAGGATCCATATCAAGTAGCTCACAAAGGGCCTGTAACTCCAGAGCCAGGGAATCACCCCCACTCTCTAAGAACACCCATACTCCTGTGCACATACCCACACACATATACACGATCAAAATAAAATAAAGCTGGAATCCATGACATTGAATTACATTCTCTAAGCAGCACAAATTAGTTCTGAGAGTTAGCTGTTGCTTTTTTTTTTTTTTTAATGCCACTTGGTAGAAAAAGGAGTGGTTCATTCCCAACAAGCTGTTTGTACCCAAGATTTAAAGGCTTACTACATCAACACAGACAATTAGCTTAAATCGAAAGCCTCTTGTACAATATCCAGAAAAGGGCGTTATTGGAATGAAAATCTCCTGAGAACAGCTCTGCTGATGCACTGGGCAGGTGCTGATTGCCAGGAGGCATCAAGGCATCCAACAGGATTGGATGACATCAGCATGAGTCTCACTGTGTGTCAAAATCGCATGAGGTCATTTCACACTAATCAAACGGGTGGCAGGAGAAAGGTGCCATTCAGCGTGTATTACCTCAACCGCCAACAAAAGGGCTGGAGACCAAGGGCTTAATGAATCTAACCAAACAAGGAGAGCAGTGGCGGTTGTGCCGTTAAGGCTCTATTACTTCTCTCATGGGCCCTAAGGCAAGTTCTCCAAAGTGATTCTGTGGTCATTAAAAAACTTTCCTGCTTTCAGCTGCGGAGTTCTTCTCATTGCAGACACTGAGCAGTTGTTTCTGGGTTACTGAGGTGGGGGGGGAGCATTGGAAACCTTCATTATTGGGCTGCAAAAAATGTTAGTAACGCACCTCAAATTCTGTCCAAGGGCAGATATCCAATGAGCTAGAGAGTGTGAGTGTGTGTGTGTGTGTGTGTGTGTGTATGCATGTGTGTGTAACTGTGGCTATCTATATAAACCCAGTTGCGTTTTTGTTGTTGTTGTTGTTTGTTTGCTTGTTTTCCTGAGCCATCCACCAGCCAAGCATTCACACTATCCCAGTAGCCCGGGTCCTACTCACTTTTAAGGAGGGGTCCATAAAAGAATCATAAAGGACTGTGGAGGGGAAAGACCAAACACTGTGATTTTTTTTTAAGCTGATGGGTGGGTTCTGAGCAATACCTTCAGGAAGGTAGGTCTGACAGTCATCTCTAAGATGGTTTAAACAGGAAGGCGAAGGTTACCAATAACAATGACCTGGTCTTGGGGTGTGTCTCGGTCGATAGGGTGCTGGCCTAGCGTGCATAGCCCTGACTCTGATCCTCAGCTCCACGTCAGCCAGATGTGGTGGTACACCTCTGTAAGCCCAGCACGTGGAGGGGGAAGACGGGAAGGACAGTAAATTTAAGCTCAGTCTTTGTCCCATAGTGAGTTCAAAGCAGCTTGGGCTACAAGAGATCTGTCTCAAGGTGAGAAAAGAGACAGCGATGTGGGGAGATCCACGAAAACTGTGTTATGAGCTCCAGAAAAGTATGGATTTACAAAGGATAATTTCAAAGATTTATCTATTTTTATTTTGTATTTTGCCTATGTGTGTGTGTGTGCATCATATGTGTCTTGAAGTCATCTTAGAGACCAGGAAAGGGCATTAGGAACCCTGGAGCTGAAGTTACAAATGGTTGTGAACTACCAAGAGGGTGCTGAGAATCAAACCCAGGTCCTCTGGAGGGGAAGCCAGAACTCTTAACCACTGAGCCTTCAGTCCTGCGCCCATGAAGGATGCTTTTAAGATGGCCCACCCTGAGGCAAAAAAAAAAACAAGGAACGATGAGAACTTTGCTTTTCAGCTTGGGCATGTGGATGGAGAAGTGAAATCTTAGGATCGAGGAGATGGAGGGATGGCATGTTTGATATGGGGTTGGGGATATGCGAATTAAAGAGGCAGGTAGGGTAACTAGATAGAGACCAAACACAGAACCCAGTCCCACTCGCCCACTGTCTGCTCGGATGGAAAAAAGAATGAGGGGACATGCTTCCAACCGGAGGACCATAGAAGGGTCCAATATGTTGATGGCCGATTCCAGGATGTCACAAAGGTTGGAAGGCAGGCAGCGATGGGATGCAGACTGGAATGGGGTTTCTCAAGCTTCTACACGCCTCCATTTTTCTCAAGTGGAAGATGCAGAAATACATTACTAACCACTTAATTGCTGATGAAGATGAAAGAGGTTGTGAACAGAATTTATTCAGTGTGTGGTGCACACGGTACTCAGTGTATAGCCTTACAGGCAGTCAGGCAGAGCGAATGGTTAGCTAGTGGACGCGTGGATAGGAAAGCAGTAGCGGGCAGGGGAGGAAGTACAATGAAGGGCACAAAGGCATGTGTAGTCTAGAGGTAGGGATGAGTTCAGGTCAACCCCCTAAACCAAATGACAGCATTAGCATCAGGCACTTGTATGCCTGATATCTATGCTTGTCAGCAGGAGAGCTGGAGGGTTTAAAGATACATCTGGGGGTGGCTGTGCATGCAGGATGATTGCTGTGAGTCTGAGGTCAGCCTTAGCTACACGATGAGTAATATGCCATATGGGGATACACAGCATGACCCTGTCTCAAAAAGGTACTCAAATAAATAAAAAGTAAAGATACATCTGGTTACAAGAATAAACTTGGGAGCTGGTGAGATGGCTCAGCTGGTTCAGCCCTTGGAACTCACATAGTGGAAGGAATGGAGAGACTCTGGCAGGCTGTCCTCTGGCCACACACATTCTGTGGCTCATGTGCCAACACCACCTCCACCCCCAATAAATAAATAAGTAAATATTTGTTTCATAATAAGAAACTTGGTAACTGGGTGGGGTCCCTAAGTAATCGTAACAGAAAGAATGACTGGGCCTCACTCTGCTGATGGGGGTCCATGCAGAAAGACCTCCTGAGGTAGCACACTGGCCTAGTCTCAGACACTGAGGAAAGAGTGAAAGATGCATCTCAACTGCCACTGCGCCTCCACCTCTCTGCCGATTCTCTCCCACACTCTGGTTCCAGGCCAGGCTCGACACCTAATATAGCATCAAACTCAGGATGTGGGAAGGAAGCAGACAGAAGAGAAGAGGGGCAGAGGTGGTAAAGCCCATCACCAGAAGACCAGATACATGGCCTTCAGTCTCAGGGCAAAACCAACATCCATGGTGGATCTCAGGAAACTGAATAGTCTTGAGCCAAGTGTGACCTCACCATTAATGTGAGACATTGTACAGAGAATTACATGGTCCTAAAGACAGCTCAGCTCCAGTTACAAGACCCTGGTCCTGGCTAGGGTATGCATGCTTGCACTCACAGGGCAAAGGGGGTAGAAGTAGGCTGGACTTACAACTCTGGAGCACAGTTCACTCAGAATAGTAAATTAATCTAAGACAAGAAATAAACAAAACAACCCTTCTTTTTTCATTTATCAATAGATAAAACCTCAGTTATCTCAGGCTAGCCTGAGAATGATCTTGGACTATTTAGATGAGGATAACCCTGAACCTGAGGACATCCTTGAACTTCTGATCCTCCTGCTTTGCTCTTCCAAATGGGGTTAAAGGTGTGCACCCAACAGCAGGTGTGCTGGGGTTACAGGCATGCACCCCGACAGCAGGTGTGCTGGGGTTACAGGTGCTTACCCCAACAGCAGGTGTGCTGGGGTTACAGGCATGCACCCCAACAGCAGGTGTGCTGGGGTTACAGATGCACACCCCAACAGCAGGTGTTCTGGGGTTACTGATGCACATCCCAACAGCAGGTGTTCTGGGGTTACTGATGCACACCCCAACAGCAGGTGTTCTGGGGTTACAGATGCACACCCCAACAGCAGGTGTTCTGGGGTTACAGATGCACACCCCAACAGCAGGTGTTCTGGGGTTACAGGTGTGCACCCCAACAGCAGGTGTTCTGGGGTTATAGGTGCACACCCCAACAAGTGTGCTGGGGTTACAAGTGTGCACCCCAACAAGTGTGCTGGGGTTACAGGTATGTACCCTAACAAGCAGATTGTGGTGTGATGATGGACTGCAGGACTCCAAGGGTGCCAAGCAAGCTCTTTACCAACTAAATTACATCCACAGCACCCTCCCTGTCCCCAATCCCATTTTGAATTGTTTAATGTGAACTGGCACCTTAGTTGCTGGTGTGGCCCTCAGAAGCATTTGGGGGCTCACGTGACATTGTTAAAGCTTGGGGAAAGTAATGTTTTCCTGAGAGGAGGCCCTTTCCCTCTTGGTCTCTCACTCCTGCCTCAGGCTGGTGAAGGGTGGTGAGCTCTGGCTCTGGATTTTACTCCTGGTCATGCAAAGTCAAGCATTCATTACTTTGGATCCTGACATCTATTTAGTCATAAAACTTTTAAAACCATAGGGTTATACAGCAGGTGCATACATATCCCTAAGCATTGGAACCCAAACATCCACCCTCTGCGCAGCACCTACCTGAGACACTAGGAGGCAGTGTTAGCCAGTCATCTGTTCCTAAGGCTCCAGGCAAGCATGAAAGGAACACTTCTTAATTGACCATACATTAGCTTTAGGCTGTAAGAGAAAAATGCAAAGATACTTCTAATTGCTAACATATAACTATAAATCCTAAGATAAAATTGTGCTCACAAAACAGACTGAAAGAGAGGCCAGTGTGTGGCTGAAGGAGAGCTGGAGAGCTTTGATTGGTTGATTGATTGATTGATTGATTGTTGATTGACTGATCCAGGTAAAGTCAAGGGGCAATACAACCTGGTGCACCAGCTTTGGTTCCATCTGAGTCCTTTGGCCTGGAGCTCAGCAGCTTTCCTTTGCGGCAAAAAGGAAATAGAAGTGAAAATGAAGAAAGCAGTCAAGAGTAGCGCTCAACAGGGCCACCCATCTGAGATTAGCACAGATCTCAGGAGCAGTTCTGGGCACCCAACAGCAGGTGTGCTGGGGTTACAGGCATGCACCCCAACAGCAGGACCGTCCCTCCATGTCTCACTTATGGAGAGATCCAGGACTTGTAGAGATACTCCTGAGTTCCTAAGATGAACAGAGAAGAGCTATGTCAGCCCCAGTAGACTGTAGAATAGATAAGAGGGACGATCGTTCACGTTTGAGAAAGTAGCATGAATATCAGTCCATGCCACAAGATCTCCAGGTCCGGGAGGCAGAGACGTGAACAACCCAGCTGCTCTAAAAGGTGGTACCCCAGGCATTTCAGGCAGTTCCGGGGACCTTGGGTAAATTTACATATTTCTGTCTGGAGAGATGAGTTAGAGCTACCTGTAATACTAGCACTTCAGAGGTTGAGGCAGGAGGATGACTTTGAGTTTGAGGTCAGCCTAGGAGGGGATTATATCTAAAATGACAAATCCAGCTCATTTGAAGATGTGCGGCTCAGAGCATTCACATCCGAATTCCACCTCCCTCTCTTGGGGGCTGTGTCTCTTCGGAGTCTGCCTTGCATCTCTAAAATGGGGTTAATGTGTAGACGACACAGATCATCTATGAACAGCATTCACCATAGTAGCAAGCCATGTGGAAGACGCTTGTCAGATACTAGCTGGTTGTAATAGTGATTATTTTGATGATGCTTGTGGCACCGTGAGGACGTTGCAGCCCAGACAGCTCAAAAACTACCAAGAGAGGCTTCCCCCCCCCCCCCCCCCCCCCCCCGCGCCCTCGCGGCGGGGTCGCGTGCCCCGGTCGCGCTCACCGCTGCCGTCTGCCGCAGGTACCTCCTGTGCGAGCTGGTGTCAGAGGACGCGCGCTGCCGCCTGAGCCTGGACGACCGCGTGCTCGGCGGCCTCGTCCGCGACACGATCGCCCGGGTGCACGGGACCTTCGGCGCCGCCGCCTGCTCGGTGGGCTTTGCAGTTCGCTACGTCAATGCCTACACCGGAGTAGTGCTACTTCGATGCCGAAAGGAGTTCTACCGGCTTTTGTGGTCAGCTCTCCCTTTCATCACGCATTTGGAGAGCAAAGGACACCGGTACTCGTGTTTTCTCAACACACTGCACGTGGGAGGTACAATTAGAACCTGTCAGAAATTCCTGATAAGGTACAACCGGAGACAGCTGTTGCCGTTGCTGCAGAATTGCACTGATGAAGGGGAACAGGAAGCCATTAAGAAGTCTTTCTCGATAAGCCGTCTACTGGAGAAAGAGCCGTCCGAAGAGCTCTCAGACATTGCTGGTGAGGACGCTGCGGAAGCAATAGAATGACCCTGTTTCCAGGCCCACTTGTGGGACCAGGAAGTTGGAGTTGGCAGCAGCGCCCCACAGTTCTCCAAACTATGAGCCAGAGCACAGGTCATGGCTGCCTTTACCATCCATGGTCCTAGAGGCTCTGTACAGAAGTTTCCTATGTAACCACTGAGCCGAGTGGGTGGAATAAATATTCTTGGCTTCCAAAGCAACATTCCTAAACTACATAAAGTATATAATTCATGCTTGGCCAGGTCTCTGCTATCACACTGGCCTTGAATGTGCTTCCGTGTGGTACTAGATGAATTTTAAATATTCCTAGTCCCTTAATATAAGAATTCAGGCATGGTAGTACATGCCTTTAATCCCAACACCAGGCTGGCTGAGGTAAGCAGATGTTTTAGGCCAGCCCTGTCTACAGAGTGAGTTCCAGAACAGCCACAATTACAGAGAAGTGTTGGTGAGGAAGACTCGTGTGAAGCAGAAATACTGGTGACTAACCACCAACTACAATGACATAATCTAGGGTCGGCCCAGTATATTTTGGGACTGCAGACACCAGGATACCCGCCTGACCACTGATCCGGCGGCTTGATAAGAAATGTAGCTTTCAGCTGGCCCAGTGAGGCAGGATAGCACTTGGGAGGATTGCTGGCTTGAATGCGGACGGTTCCCAGGTGGCGGGACTGTCTGGGAAGCCTACTGTTCCCAATTAGCTCTCTGCCTCCTGCTAATGGATCAAATGTAAGATGCCAGCTACTTCTCCAGCACCATGTCTGCCTGTCTACTGCCATGCTTTCCGTGATGATTATGGACTCACCCTGTATGGTGGTTTGAATAGGTATGGCCCCTGTAAACTCCTGTATTTGAAAGCTTGGTCATTAGGAGTTGTGGCCTTGTTGGAGGAATTGTGTCACTGCAGCAGCAGGCTTTGAGGTTCCTGTGCCTCAACCTATACCTAGTATGGCTCACAGTTGCTTCCTCTGCCTGTGGATCAAAATATAAAATTCACAGCACCATATCTGTTGAAGCACTGCACTGCCATGCTTCTCACCACGAAGATAATAATGGATGAGACCTGAAACTGTAAACCAGACCCAATTAAATGTTTTCTTTATAAAAAAAAAAAAAAAAAAAAAAAAAAAAAAAAAAAACTACCAAGAGATAACTCCAGAACCCATCCCAATGGCTGCAGTTCCGGTGTTTTGTTTGTTTGGTTTGGTTTATGTGTGCTCGTGTCTATGTATGTGTGTGTTCGCATGAGTGCGGTGCCCACAGAAGCCCGAAGATGTCAGATCCTATAGAGCTAGGATTCTGGGTGACGGTGAGTGGCCTGATGTGAGTGCTGGAAACAAGTTCCAGACATCTGTGAAGTCCCCTTAGCCCCTGAGCCCTCCTCCTAGCCTCCCACCTGCACTGTAATAAATGGGTGAAAGTTTGCTCATCCAGAGTTATCCTGCTGTGATCCCTGGGTCATGGCACAAATTATTTAATGAATATAAATCTCAAAGCAGCTGCATTTTGCAGCACTCTGAGGAGCAACGCTTAATTAATGTGGTAGTTCATTGACTTCCAGTTAATAGCTCACATAGGGAGAGATATTATGTATTTATCTTCTTCAGTGCTGACTTTCAAATCTAGGGACTTGCATATGCCAGGCAAACTCTCTACCACTGAAGTACACCAGTCTTGGTTTACTGTATTGTTTTTGTTGTTGTTTTGTTTTTTTTAATTTTATGGTAAATTTTACATGTATGTTTGTGTATGTATGTGTCTCTGTGTGTACATGTGTGTGTGTGCATGTGTATGCACCAGTTTGTGTTCAGAGGCCAAAAGATGGTGTTGGGTGTCCTCTGTCTATCTTAGGGGTTCTCTATCTATCATTCTCTGCCGACTTTCTCTCTCTGAACCCAGGGTCTTCTCAGCTCAGCTTGAAAGCAGCAAGCCCCAGCCACCCTTATGTCTCCGCCCCCTCACAGCTGAGGTTACAGTGTTTGCAGAAACACCCAACTTGTTTTGTGGGTGCCATTACATTCTCCCCACACTCTGCTGATTCCTTTGCTCTTCCCAACCTCCCAATCCACCCCCTCTCTCCTCCTCCAATGGCTGCTTTGACTTCTGGAGGCAGGTTACTATTTGTTTTTTGGTTTTTGCTTTTTGTTTTTGCTTTTGAGAAGCCTCACTGTGTAATTCTCCCTGTTCTGGAACTCCCAATCCTCCTGCCTCAGCCTCCAGAGTTCTGGGCTACAGTCCTGAGCCACCACCACCTGGCTTCTGAGTGTATTTTAATTCACAATAAGATGAAATAAAAGGAATGCCCTGTCATTACTGGTACAGTCTTGCGAACCAGTGGATAAGAGTGTTTGCAAGGAATTCAGCTTCGGGTAAGGATGAGATCAGGCCAGATTCCTTGAACTCAGATGCTGTGTGGAGCTTGTTCCTTAGAGGTAGGGGAGTCAGGGAAGTGAGTGAGGCTTGTTCTGGACTGTTCCCTTTGGTCAGATAGACGCACAGCAGCCCACAATAGGTTATTGTTATGAGAGGCAAAGAGAGCCAGCAATTTGGTCTTTGCTTTTCACTTTTTACTTACACTCTTCTGCTTGTGTTTTTAAATCTCTTTTAGTTTCAAGTCAGCACAGTGGAAGACACTTTTATCCTTTTAAAAATGCTTTTTTTTATTCATTCTTTGAGAATTTCATTTGGCACAGTTTGATTATATTCACCTCCCACCTCTCTCCCTGGGAGATATTTTCAGCAAACATTATCTCTGCCCTGAAGGAACTGTCAGCTAAGGAAGAGGAGTAGTATGAACCTGGAGAACTACCCCTAGTCTTGGTTTTCTCTGGGAGGTGTGTAATCTTGCTTCCCTCTCTGCCCACAGAATCCAATATGAGTTGCTTAGCCCTTGCCTTCCTCTGGGCTGGTCACCTAAACTGCAGCTGGCTCTGGACAGGAAGGAAACAGAAGCAGAATGCCACAGTTATAGCATCTCATCAAATGCTTCTAGTGGCTGTCCAGGTGGGCTGGCCTCCCCTGGGTGCCATAGCCTGCGAAGCTACCAGGGTCTTAGAGCCTTCCTCGCGGTACCCACTCTGGCTGGCTCATCCTGGCCCAAGCCACAGCGGTATTCAGTCTGGATTCCTGACCCAGCTCTAATACTGATACATGTGAGTGCAGGTTCATCCGTGTACACCCGTGTGTGACTACAGAGGCTGGGGGACAACCTTACTGTCATTCTCAAAAATGCCGTCCACCTCCATTAAGACAGTCTCCCATTGCGCTGGAGCTCATCAATGAGGTCAGACTGGCTGGTTATCAAACCCCAAGAATCCTATCATTGTTTCTGCAGCACCGGGATTAGAGGTGCATGCCCCCACACCTGACTGTATTTTTGTTTGTTTCATTTTTGGCAAGTTCTGAAGATCAAACTCAGGTCTTGGTACTCCAAAGGCAAGTGTATCACTGAGTCATCCCACCGATCTCTCTAGGCCTTCTTAAGGTCACCTGCCTGTCTTGTCCTTTCAGCCTGAGCCTGCCTACACCCCTGCTGTGACATAAGGTCCTCACAACACCCCCACACTCCCACTCCTACCTCCCCCCCCCCAAGAGGTGAAAGGAAAGCTCCACCCCACCTACTGAAGTGCCCGACCACCTTATTCTTTACATAAAGAGTACTTTGCCGCAGGGAATGAACAACAGCTATCCGGTGAACGTGGGATTGCCCTTCCGCCAGAGTGGCTGCTCAGCCTAATTTGGTAAGTGTTTCTTTCATCTCCATTGTTCAGGGTGAACTGTGCCGTTTGTAGATTATCCTCACTGGCCATCTGCCTTGCTTCTCAGTCATTTAGAAAGTATTTTAATAACGTCTTTGCCAACAAAAAAATAAACAGAGAGTGGCATTACTCTTTCTAAAAGCCTACATCTTGTTTACTGTGCTTATCTTATAATATCTTATAAAATTTTAATAGGGCCTGCGGTACACATCTTCTGAAAGTGGCAGAGCCACCCTGCAACTAGAAAGAAACAAATGGAAAAACAACAAGATGTAAGAAAATGTTCTTTGGAGGTACTAGAGGAAATTATAACAGTAAAAAAAACAAATTACAGGGCTAGGAGTGGGGAGATGGCTCAGGTGGAAAAGTGCCTGCCACACAATCATGAGGACCTGACTTAGACCCCAAGAACCCACAAAACAAGTACTGAGTATATGACCAGCTAGCCTAGCCTAATCCAAGAGTTCCAGGCCAAGTGAGGAAGACACTGGAGGCTGACTTCTGGTCTGCACAAAGACACACACAGAACAACAGCATTGCAGTCCAGGGTACAAACCATCAAGGGGTCTGACTGTTTTCCCAGGACGTCTTCTAATTCCTACTGAGGTGCCACAAAGGTGGCAAAGCTGAGTAGACGTTTGACAGGCCTACAGTGAGAACCCGGAAAACCCCAAGCCTTTATCAGCCATTCAACCATATTTAATCTACTTGTTATTATGCACGTGTGCATGATGGGGGACACACATGCCACCGCTCACCCATGGAGGTCAAAGGACAACTTCATGGAGTCTGCTCTCTCCTTCTACCTCGATGTAGGTTCCAGGAATCGAACTCAGGTCACCAGGCTGGCGCAACAACGATGGCCAGACACTGTTAGGCAGGTGATTCGGGGAGGATGGGGCGGGGGTGGTGCTTGGCTCACAAAGCTCAGTGACAGTACCCAGTCTGGGACATTTGTGCACTGATGTATGACAGGCCTGCATTGCTGAGGAGCTTCCCTAGGGAGCCCCCCAGGGTGATGGACACCATCCAAACAAAGGCCCTTGGAAGACACCTCCAAGGACATGCTATTTTCTTCCTAGCCATGGTGGACTGGAAAATTGCTGATGTAACATTGAGAGAAGGAAACTATTGCCCTCTGGGGTAGCCAGGGAGGCTATGAGCAATGGTCTTGCCCATTCATTTGGCACGGTGGTCTGAAAACAAAGCCAGATGATTTGCTGAAAGCACAGAAAAGGCGTCCGGCCCACTTGCCCATGTAGACTGTGTTCCCCTCTGAAACGCATAAGCTGGGCCTCTACCATCTGCATCCATCTTCCAGGCTCCTGCCAGAACAGCCCTGCTAACTGCAGACCGCCTTAGCCACTCCTCTAGTGGGCAGTCCCAACGCCTTCCACCGTGCTCTAAGCGCCAACAAGGTTAGGTTCTTCACAGCAGCAGCCCACTCAGTGCCACCGGCTGCTGTCTTTGTCACTTCCTTGTAGCTGTGATAAAACCCAGTGACCAAAAGCAACGTATACAGTAAAGAATTGAGTACGGCTTACAGTTCCAGAGGGATACGAGTCCATCACAGTGGGGAAGCAGGCCAGAAGCGCCAGGCATGATGGGAGGGGCGGGAAGCTCGAGAGCTCACGTCTCAAGCATAGAGGGTGAGGCTAGAAACTCTCAAGCCCACCTCCAGGGGTGTATTTCCTCCTGCAAGGCCAAACCTTCCAATCACCCCAGCCCACAAACAACAATACTATCTGGGGACCAGTGTTCAAATACTTGAGCCTATGGGGGGGGGGGGGGGCATTTCTAAGGCAAACCACTAAGCCACGGTCTCTGATCTTAAGAATACCGGATCCTAGATGGTTTCTAAGGGAAAGAAGTCCATTTAGTTCCTGGTTCTAGGTGCTGGACCCCCAAGACAGGACAGCCACTTGGGCAAGGCTGTGCACCACATCACGGATAGCAGAAAAGCAGGCCAAGCGGAAGTTCTCAAGCGTGGTGACAAAGCTCAAGGAGTGACCTCACTGTGCAACCTTGTCAGCCCAGCAGGGAGGCCCTGGTCCTGCTGAGCAAGCCGCTCACCTCCCAGCACCTCCACGGTGGCAGTCGGCATTTAGCCTGAGTTCCGAGGGAACCGACCCTGTTAAGATGGGAGCCGATGAAAGGTGGTCATGGTAGGATACGCCTGTCATCTAGTGCTCTGGACGCAGAGACAGGCATCCCTTTAAGACCGAATGTGACTACATGGGGAGTCCCAAGCCAGTCAGCTATGTAAAACCCTGCATAAAACAGCAGCTAAGGCTCTGGCTTAGGGACCAAAGCCACATGAAGGCCATGTTTGTCAGCTTTTCTGGGTTACTCA